CAGTCTCCTCCTTCACATTCAGCTGCTCTCCCTCCAGTCTGCTCCAAGGTTCCTCCTCTTCTTCTTCTTTTATGTTGAGGGCTTCTGGGTCCAGCTGGTCCACACCAGGCCTCCATTCTTCAGGAGCTTCTTCTTTAATCAGCACCATCTGTTCAACATGAGCAGGAACCACTGAAACACATTTAGACAATGTTTAAAACACACAAGTGTTTTTCTGTTTCGTGACAGTTTGACACTTTTTGCTTCATGTGACTGCAGTACCAAAACTTGGCCAGCAGATGGCACCAAATTATAAGTATGAAATAATAATCTCTTCCTTCACTTTGTCAGCTAAATAAAAAAGGTAAATTTCAGGTTTATTACAAATGTATCACCTGTATGAAGTTGGTTAAAGGTGTAGACTGTTTATCTGTCCCATGAACAAAAACATGCACGAAGCCTGCGTGCTATTATGTCATTAAATAAATAAAAATATTTTACAAGCACAAAAAACGCAACAACTATAAGCGCTGCTTTTGTTTATGCGACACATGATATAAATTCGACGACTAATTATGACGTAGTAGGTTTCCAAAATTAAAAACGCTTGTTAGAATGAAACAAAACAAAGAAAAAAAAACATCAAACTCAGCCGTTATGGGATAATTTATGTTTCAGTTGGCTACTTTTAACAATTAAAGCAGAAACATATCGTTTAAGCCACTCACTTTTATCAGTTAGCATCATGCTAACCGTCTCCAGCCGCTGCGGACGGTCCGGTGTTACGGTTCAACTTGTGACCACGTTAACTGCTGACTATCTGTGCTGTAGTGTACATAGAGTTAAATCATATTAAATATATGATTTATATGGGACCGTAATCCACGTTTTGGTTAAGTCTGGTTAGCTACTGTAGCTATCAACGAGGGGTCCTGACAGCGCTTAGCTGCCCTCGTCAATGCCGTAATGTTTATGTTGCGTTAAAATGTCAACGGTCACATAAAATAAATTATCAGCAGCATCATATTTCTTATATCAAAGGAAGGGGCAGAGCACACGATGAGAGACAATCATGTCAGAATTTATTTCAAAACACTATTTTTGAGAATTAATGAGTAAACGAAGTCACTTTTTTCACCTATTTCTGTCCTATTATTTTGTAGTTTTATATATCGGCATTATATTGTTCAAATGTAATAAACATTTTGTCATGAAATAAATGTGTAAATCACTCAGTAACCATTGTTCTGGAGAGGGACATCAAACTCCTTGTTGATGAGCATACAACTTTCAAAAACCCAGTAGAGAAGCAATTACAAAACTGGTACGCAAGTTCCTTTTTTTCCCCCCAAATTTAATCAGAACTTTGTTAGGATAAATTAACCTGACTGCAATTTGAACAGTTTCAATGTTGTTTGATCTCAAGATCACCAACAAAAGCAAAATAGATTATCTGCAGAGTTCACGGGTCTTTGTTATATAAAAGGGCCTGCATTTACTTTAAATGAAAACTGTGTTCCAGTATGTGAGACCTACAATCACCTCTAACTATGGGTGATACAAGTTCTTGTTTTAACAAAACTTTACACAGATAAGCTTATAAGGATCAACAGAGGCATTGCTTGCAAATTAAATACACTGTTTTTTTCACCATAGTATAAGAAATACTCAGATCTGAAGACTAAGATGTTCAACCTTTAACAAATAAATTACACAACTCACTGCTTCAACACAAAATTATTGTCCCTCCTGAAAAATGATGTGTATTACGCCATTTTCTCTCTGCCAGTATTTAATCTAAATTTATTTTACTTTTCATTGTGAATCAGAATGATTAATTTTTCACAAAAAGAGCTGTGATGGACGATCAGTTGAATGTGGCAAGTGGTGATCTTCTGGGGCAATAACATTAAAGTTTGGTTGTCCCTAACAACCAATAACTTTCACTCAGAATATCAAAAGTCAAGACACACAGGTACGGTTTTRCAAAAAGCAGGAGACAGTTTTCAAGTACAGAAAGTTGTTTTATTAAACACAAAATGTGAAAGACTGATTAAAAACAAACTACTAATGCTCAGCTACTGAGGCTTACCGGTAGGTGCCAACAGACCTGTTCTGGACGAGCGGCTCCTAAAGAGAAACTACAAACACACGTGAAACCACACTCACTCCTTGGGTTTCCCCCCACCTGTGCTGATCACCGCAAGCATGCACACAAAAAAAGGGGGACACCGCCATCCAGGTCAACCACACCACTGTCACTGGTCCTCAGCACTGAGCTAAAAGAATAAAAACAAAATTAGAAACAAACAAATACCAAAAAGACAATTAATTTACAGATAAAATTGGAAACTTGTGGTTTAGAAGTAGTCTTTCATCAGCAGAGAAACAATTGATTCCACCAGACTGTTGGATAGTAAACCTGTGCTTCCCCGTCCTCCATGGCATGGACGTGTCTTCGAGCGCCACGCCTCAGTCAAACATTTTGTAGGAACACAGGAGAATCAAAATGAGGCAAAGCAGCAGCGGGGCTGACGGGGTCAAGTTAAAAGCTGCCACCCACAATTCCTGATAAAACATTACATTAACAGGTTAAAAGCTATTTACTAACAATAAGATTCAGTGCATAGTGGCCACATACCGATCATGCCAATCTCCTCTCTCACTTGTGGGGAGATCATTTAAGGGCACAAACTCTGACCACAGCAGCCACTACACTCACAATCAGTGGTGAGGGCAAACATGCCGACAGTTATCTGCTGGTGCAGAAGTTTATAAGTAACTGTGCTGAAACAATTACAAGTGTGCATGACAGCCAACCTCACCTGCACTTGGCACCCAGCAGGCACAACACTGGACCACATGGTGACGTGTCTCAGCCAACTGATCTAAACCTGCAGTTTACCTGTGCTTTTTATAGGGAGCACCCTCTAGTGTCATTGGCTGCCACAACAGCACAATTACCCTGCCAGCAGGTGCAATTCATCCTGCCACATGAAGATGTGAAGAGCTGAATGTTACAGAATTTCTTCTGTATTTTTTTCATAAGTTTGTTTCATTTAAAAAAATGAATAAATTCTATATACAATAAAATATATATACTTATGTAAGAATTTATACCTTTGATTATAACTTCATTAGAGAGCAGAAATGTAAATGAAATTTGATCATTTTTCTGTCCCTAAAGCTTCCTGTGAAACAGCTACAAGCTGGACTTGAAGAAAAAGTTTGAAACCTGAGCAATTAAAAATGTAAAAATGCTCAGATTCATCCAGAAAGATGTCTAATCGTGGTCTTTTCTCTGTCCCTCCTGACAAAATTCTGCAGAGTATTAACACTCCAACATCTACAGGCTCCTTTAGAAAATGACACTTCCTGTCTGACTCTGTCCTCGTGTCTCAGCGGTTTCTGATATGGGCAAGGTGGGCAGTTGCCCAGTGCAGCATCTCTTCAAGGGCGCCACGAGCACCTGGCCCCTCCCCTATCCTACCCAGTAAAAAAAAGGCTATAAACACTTTATGTTTCATAAATAAAACCAAACTTCAATTTTTCCTTCTTTACTTTTTTTTTTTTTTTTTTGGGCACACATCCAGCATCACAGATCAGTGAGAGGAATCTTACACTCTGACAACAATGAGACGTTTCAGAGCTAATTTAGACACAAACATCTGAAGAACAAGACGAACCCACCCACAGTCAGAGTGTTTGAAGACGAGCAGGAGGAACCATTCTCCACCCTGAACACGGGATCATCAGTTCAGTCTCTATGCACTTTCATGTGCCGATTAAGATATGCGTTAATGTTAAAACGTTTTCCACAGACTGTACAAGAGAACGGTTTCTCTCCTGTGTGGGTCAGCAGATGTTTGGTACGGTTCGTACTTAAAGTAAATTGTTTTTCACATAAATTGCAAGGAAATGGTTTTTCACCAGTGTGGCTTCTCATGTGACTTTTAAGATGTGTATTTTGGTTGAACCTTTTCCCGCAAGTTCCACAGGGAAATGGCTTCTCTCCTGTGTGGATCCTCATATGGACGACTAAGTTACTATAAGAAGGACATATTTTACCACAGGTGGTACAACAATACATCAGTTTACCAGAGTTCTGGGTGCAGACTTTGTGGAGCATGACGTGTCGGGAAAGTAGTAACCGCTCTGAAAAAGTTTTTCCACAGATGAGACAAGAAAACAACCTCTCAGATGTTGCTGATTGGTCTGCTTGGTTGCCATGATGACCCTCTGTGTGATCCATCTCCTCATCTGACCCCGAATCCTGATTCTGGTCCTCAGGTCCAGCAGAACTCTGAGAGATGAGCTGCTCCTCATCTGGTTCATTTTTTTCACATAAAACAGTCACCAGAACCGGATCAGTCTCCTGCTTCAGGTGGAGCTGATCTTCCTCCTGATTGGTGCAGAGCTCCTCATCCTCTACTTTGATCTGTGGAGGTTCTGGTCCCTCCTGGTCCAGGCTGGAGTTCCTCTCCTGCTTGAAGAGCTGCTGGTCCTTGATAATCTGTTTCTTGTGGACCGGTTCCTGTTGGAGGTCTGAAAGAATAAAAAGACAAAACAAAGAGACTAAATATGAGACAGAAATGTTCAGACAGGATCTTGTTTGTTTTTAACTTCAGAAACAAACAAAAGACTCAAAAACTCACAGCTGAAGAGAAATCTATTTGAATTTATAACTTTGTCATTTTGTAACTCAGTCTGGATCTGTTGGACCCACACCAGAATCAGTTTGTATCTCTAGTTTTGTTCAGAGCAAACAGAGAAAACCAACAGACATCTTCACAGACCAGCATGTTTTCATTCTGATGAAAGATGTTCTGACTCCTCACTGACTGCGCTACACGAGGCAGATTCTTACAAATGAGATCATGCTAACGCTAACCACTGATATCAATGAGCAGAACATGGCGCCGTGCTAAGAAACGCGTAATAAAACAAATGGTACAAAAACTTTGTTATAAACTGAATAAATTATGAGAAGAACAAAACGGATTATGTTTCAGAGGTAAATAAAACACAGATTTAACCTAAAATTAATCATTTTAACAGCAAAACCGGTAAGTCAAAATGTTTTAAACTTTTTTTAGGATCGACTGTGTGATGTCAAATATATTATCTACTGACATTAAGTTGGTAAAATATGAACTTTTAAGTACTGACCAATAAACTATTTCGTGGTTTTTAGTGCTGGGTGGTATGACCAAAATTATATCACGGTATTTTCAACATTTACACCGGTTTCACAGTATATCACAGTATTTATCTTTTTATCACGGGTCAGATGATAATAAAATGTACAAACACTGCTTATTAACTTCTCTTTTACTGTACCTCTGTCTGTGTCTCTGTTTCCCTCCTCTAAACGTCTTTTCTTCTCCTCCTGTAGTCACTCCACTGGCTACCTGTACAATTCACTCAAGTTCAAAATCCTGGCTCTCACTTTTAGAGCTCTACACGGCCAAGCGCCGAACTACATCTCCGGTCTTCTCTCGCCTTATAACCCCAAACACAACTTGTGCTCACAAGACCAGAATCTTCTGTTGGTCCCCAGTACTCGCTTCAAGACCCGTGGTGACTGTGCCTTTTCCTCAACGGCTCCCAGACTGTGGAACGACCTTCAGCCCTGTATCAGACCTGTAGAAAACACTGACTCCTTTAAAAACCAACTAAAAACACACCTCTTCACTCAAACATTCAACTGAATATATTCAACACCTCACAACTTGAGTTTATAGATCCTGACTAACAATCATGGTGTTATTCAGATCTAGTATCCATCCCCTCCACCTATAAGGGTGAGTTCTTGTTTTGAATATTGAATGTATTGAATGTATACTTTGTACAGTTAATGTGTTATTTTTGCTTTCTTTTGATTTTTGCTTTCTCTGTCTGATAATGAATGTACAGSACCTTGTGAAATCCTTTTCTGTGAAAGGCGCTATATAAATAAACTTTTACGTACTTACAAAATGACGCATCACGATCCATTGATTCCGTTTACGCTCTTCAATGAGTAACAGCTTGTGCTAACAACCAGCTAACGATGTTCAATCAGTTCTACAGATTAATATAACTCATCAGTCTGGATACAGAGTGTGGTGAGATGGTGATGATGAGATAAAAACAAAAGAAAAGCGCCCTTCAGCTGCTAGCAACCAATAACCCCGCCCAGACCAACATGTTTTCAAACTTCGCAGCCACTAGCTCTGTTAGCTAACGCTAGTTTAGCATTAACCTCTGTAAGCTAACGCTAGCTTAGTATCTGAAACTAGTTGTTTCCGTGTTCGGTGTAACTTTGTGTTTGTAGCTTCATGTTTTATTTGTGTCTGAACTGTGACTTTCCATGGTCTCAGAGCTACATACCGACTCTGTTCAGCTTTAGTTCAGGTTTCCAGCAGAGATCCAGCAGTCTGCGCTGACGSTCCATCTCTTCTTCGTACCGCAGGATGGTTGTTTCAAACTCGGAGAAGATTTCCGCAGCAGCAGCTGTCAGTCTTTCACTGATAAACTCTCTCAGATGATGAACTGAAGACATTTTTACTAGAAACAAACTGGAAACTTAACCAAGACAACAAAACCGGCGTCTGCTACTTCTATTTTGTTTCATGTGAAACTTGTTTCTTCTTCGTGGGTTTAAATTGCGGCTGAACGTAGTGACGAAACCCCACCGCCACAAAAAGCGGATTGGAGGATCAC